GGCAGGGGGGGCCTTGGAGAAGGGGCAGGGCACAAGGGTTTGGTTGTGTGTGATTACAAAACTGGCAATTCAGAAAGGCGAGGAGGTGCCCAGATTCAGCCTGGGGGGAGGGGGGAGGCTACATGGTCATTTGTGTTTGCTTTCAGAACTGTGTGAAGTTACCAAAAACCCAGCCCCAAGCCAGGCTGGGGCCGGCAGGACTGTTTAGAGTTGGTGGGAAAAGGCGGCAGAAGGGGGAAATGGGGGCAGGGCACTGCAGAGAGCCCCCCTACCCCAGCTCGAGGGGCCACCCGGGGGGTGGCCGGCCCTGATACAGGCAGAAACAAGAGGGGACTCGGGGGGCAGTGCCAGAGGGCTGTGCCGGAGTGAAATTCTCCGGGCGAAGACACAAAGAGTGGAAACCTCAGGGACCGCAGGCCCAGGCCAGAGGAGAGTGAGCAGGAAACCATCTGGGAGTGGCCAAACCACAAGAGCCTACCATGCCTTGGTGACTGCTGGGGAGGGATATGAGGGGGGCACCAGCCAGGTGACCACCCCCCATATGACTCCTCCCTGCACCACTCCATCCCTAGGAGTGTGTGTGGCCTGCGACATCCACCCCCCGTCCCAGGCCCTTTCTCTTTGTGCCCTCCCCCCATCCCTGCCCTGCCCTCCAGAGCGACAAGGCTGGGAGCTGGGGGAGCAGAGCAGGGTGGGGATGGGTTGTTCTGCTTCCCACCACTGCTAAGTGTGGGGATGGGCCCAACCTCTGTTGCCAGCAGTAGGTGCCCTGGGCCCTCCTAGAATCCCCCCCAAAGCATGGGGTTGCCCCAAATCTTCCAAGACAGAGGATTGTTCTGGGTGCTGACCCTTTGCCCCTCCCCCCATGACATTTGGGGGACACATGACTCTCCATGCACTCCCCATGCATCCCCCTCACTACCATGGGGGTATCAGCTACCCTCCAACCTGCTGGAACAATTCCAGCTGAGCACAGGTCTCCAGGGCCGGGCCGAGCCTCCGAGAAGATAAGACGACACTCCCTCACACAGCAGTGCCGTAGCTCTCCTCTCAGTGAGGAGATGCTGCCAGTTTGGCCTCACTGCAGCATTCGACTGGGTTGTGTTGCCCCTTCCGAGTGGCTTTCCAAAGGCCACCCCCATCCGTGTGGGTCTCCTTCTTCATCTTGGCCTCTCCCGCCAGGCTGGCAGTCCTCATGACTTGGCTTGTCTCTGACAGTTTCAAAGCCAGGAGGCGAATTCTCCAGCTTGGCCAGGGCCACTCGGCCAATGGCAGAGTAACTAGCAAAGGCACATGATCCCTGAAAAGGTGCTAAGAGTCTGGAATCAAAGGGCAGTGAGCTTGTTAAAGGTGATTCAGTCCCGGAAGGTCCCTTTCAAAGCCCAGGGTGATGCTCAGGGAAGAGAAGCCATATGGGGCATGGCTCTGCCGAAACGAGCTTCACACTCCGTAAAAGGTGCGGAGAATAGTTTATTAGCAATGCTGCAGCATAGCGAGAGCCCACCGAAGTGTGTTGTGTTCTAGAATACAATTACAACTTCTTTTATGGTAGCAAGCTTCACAACCAACGATCATTCGGTGCAGGCGTGTTACTGGGCAGGCTTTCAGTTACTGGCAAACTTTCAGCCTATCTACATTCTTCTTACGGTAGAAGTTTCACTTTCTCACACTTTCAAATTATGTGACCTTCAAACTTGCATGAAATGGCAGCTACTTTACAAGATGGATTCCACAGTTCTTTCGTCAGCATTAGTCAGGCTGAGTGTCTGTGTTCTGGTTACCCCGCTCAGAAATGACTCATCAGGAACCTGGCTCACAAGCCCCCAAAACACCGACTGTGCTCAGATCCTGCCCTCAACAGCTCCGTCATGGCAGAGAGATGTCACCCACCCTGAGCCACACTCCCTGGCCAGAACACGGCAATGCTGATGCTGATGCTGAAATTCCTCTCCTACCTTGAGACCTCGATCATGTTCTGGTGAGTCCATGTTCCATAAACGAAATATGCCAAGGCCTTGGGGCTCCATCCATGTTGATATGGGATCATGACTGAAGGAGAGCTAATGTGACACCAATTTTTAAAAAAGTATAAAAAGCAAGATCAAAGTGATTGCAAAGTGAAAACAGACAGATCAAAGTAAGTTACTCAGCCAAAATAAACACAGAACGCCAGCTAATCCTAACACACTAAGGAACTTGTTACATGTAAATTCTTACCCTAATAGTTGTTCCACTCATCTCTTTCACAAGTGAGGCGGCCTCCTAGGTCAGGCCCAACCCTTCCCTCTGTTCAGTCTTAGATTTTTCTAGCAGGCATCTTGGGTGGTAAGTGGAAGTCTCTTGGTGTCTGGCACCTGTGCCTATTGTTTGGTTTCCCATCTTTATATCCCTTTTGCCTGAGGCAGGAATTCTCTGTGCTCAGTTCAAACATTTCTTACCTTGAATTGAAAAGTACCAGATCCAAAATGGGTTCCGACATCTGGTGACCTGGTCACAGGTCTTTGTAGGACCGGCCACAGTTTGGGCTAACAGGAAAAACAAACCCATTCACAGATCATTGCCTTGAGCACCAGGCCATTAAGTTTCTGGAGTATCAGAAAACACCCCCTTAAGTAGCACATTTAGAATTATAAACAGTGCTACACCTCATATTTCTCACTTCACAGGAAAGAATGACATGTGCACAAAAATAGAATGTACACTTTCAGCAGGTCCTAACAAAAAATGATATTACATGATGAATTTTGCCTACACTATCTTCAGATTATTCATATTCATAAGCCAATTTTCATAAAGCATGGGGGCGTGATAGGGGATATAGTGTACTTCAATTTCCAGAAAGCCTTTGACAAGGTCTCTCACCAAAGGCTTGTAAGCGAAGTAAGCTGTCATGGGATAAGAAGGAAGGTCTTCTCATGGACTGATAATTGATAAGGCAGGAAACAAAGGGTACCACTCAAGAGATCTTGGAAGCATGGTGGCTAGTTCTTTGAAAACACCCACTCAGAGTGCAGCGGCTGTCAAAAAAGCAAACCGATTGTCTCCTTGTTTTCATGCTAGGAGTCAGGAGAACAGAAGGGCCCCATCCCTTGGCTGTTGGCCAGATAATATTAGACAGTTATCATCTCCTCTCTTATCTCTTCTGTACTCTGGCGGGCTATCCCCTCATGCCTTGCTTTCTGAATGGCCCATCATGGTGGCCTTTCTCTTTCAGCCACACAGAGAACAGTACATTCTGGAACACGGACAGGTTTTGCACCACCCCTGCTTTAGCCTCACAAAGTAGAGGAACCAGGCTCCTTAATCTCCTCTAACGAACCAGTCTGCCCCTCCTAGGCCTAGTCTAACTAGAAAATTAGATCAGTTTAACAACATCCGTCAGGGGTGTGAAAATCTCTCCCGCAGCTGGATTATCTAGCTGCCAGGAGAACTGCTCCGTCAGTATAGGGCGTGTCTACATGGAAGCTGCAGCATGTGAAGAGCAGTCACACCCAGTGTTGGCAGTTTCTCTATAGGTAGGTGCCACTCCCTGGAGAAACCGCACCCTGGTCGCTATTTATTGTCACAGCTCCATGAAAAGGGGCTCATTAAAACAAAAATCACAGCCTTGTACAGAGGCGTTTTCTTGGCACGGAGCAAATATCCAGGCAGGTGTCTGTGTCCAAAGGGCTGGCGTACTCCAGCAGACAATTACTCTCTGCTAATTAGCCACCCTGCTGTCAGACTACCTGCCCCTCCCGGACTGCTCCAAAGCGGGGCTAGCAGGGAAGTGTGTGCAGCTGGCTTGGAGGGGCCAGCACCGTCAGCACTGGAGGTGCAAACCCCTGGGAGAAAGCCCCTCCCTGACACGCTCATCCGAAGACCCCACAGCCATGTGCACGCTCCTTTGGTCAGACACGTGCCCAGGTCGCCTGTGCCAAGCACCATGGGCAGCTGGTAATGCAGGCAAGGGAAGGCTCAGCCTTCCCAGAATTGCCTGCATGCCCTGCCCACCAGGAAGGCTGGGGCCGCAGCTCAGCAGCCCGGCTTTCCCAGCCACCAGGGAGAGCAGGAGGCGGGACTGTGGTGCAGCAGCCTGGCTCCCCAGCTGCCTGGAAGGGCTGGTGCCAGGGTTGCAGTAAGGAAGCCCCAGCCCTCCAGGTGGCCAGGAAAGATCAGGCTGGGGTGGGCGGGGCTTGGCTTCAGAGGCGGGGCCTCGGGTGGAAGGAGCTGGCCTGGAGCTTGCCTTCCCCAGCTGGGCCTTTACCCACTGCCCATGCCAAGCACCACCTCCCCTGGGGACTCCGCGGACCTTGGACAATCAGCTGTGAATGGGGCGCACCAGAGGGAAAGCCAAATGATGTGAAAGCGACAAGGAGACAGGTGGCACCTGCCCTAATGAATAGGTTAGTCTTTAAGGTGCCACTGGACTCCTTGTCTTTGCTGAAACCAACCCACAGGGCTACCTCTCGGGAAGGGAGTGCTCTGGATATATGCCCGAGGTGCTGGTTGGGGAGGAAGTGGGGGCAGGAGCCCCTGGAGTTTCATACAGGAGGTGTGTGAGCTCCCAGGTGGAGTCCTGAACTACCCCCCTTCGCGGGCCATGTACACCCTGCAGAGGAGAAGGCCTCTCCGGGACAGGCATAAGGATCTTGCGCAAAACGGGGGTTTTGCACAAAACGGAAGCGGCTACACTGCTTCTTTTTGCACAAAAACCCCTTGCGCAAAAAGAAACGGCAGAAAATATGCTAATGAGATCACGACTTATGCTAATGAGTCCCTCATTAGTGTATTTTCTGCCGCAAAAACTCACGTGTGTCTAGACTGGCAAGATTTTGTGCAAAAGCATTTGCTTTTGCGCAAAATCTTGCCAGCTGTCTACACTGGCCGGTTGAATTTGTGCAAGAGCACTGACTTTGTGATGTACAAAATCAGTGCTTCTTGCGCAAATACTTTCACACTCTCGCTCGGGAAAAAGCCCCCTTGCGCAAGAGGGCCAGTGTAGAAGAATTGTTTTGCGCAAAAAAGCCCCGATGACTAAAATGGCGATCGGGGCTTTCTTGCGCAAAATCGTTGCGTCTAGACTGGTCATGGATGCTTTTGCGCAAAAGCACTTTTTGCACAAAAGCATCTGTGCCAATCTTGACGCGCTTTTACAGAAATACTTTTAACAGAAAAACTTTTCCGTTAAAAGTATTTCCGCAAAATCATGCCAGTCTAGACGCAGCCACAGTGTAGACGCAGCCTAGATGTTTAAATCTAACCAGTGGCTCTTATGTGACTTGACACAAACTGTGAGAACATGTGAGTACTGGAGCTGAGTGGCGTCTAAGCTGTATTACCAGCTCTTTTCTAAGTCATTATCGGCAAAAAGAAAAAACAAACAAACAAACAAAACCCGCAAAGTTTTCAGGTGCGGAAATAGTCCCTGGAATTACAGTTAAAGTTGCTTCCAGGCCTGATTCTGAAAGGTGGCCTCTGCCGGACTTCCACAGGGCCAGGTAACAAGCGGAGACCAAGGACACTGCAGGATGGGGGGTTAGTGACTGTTTGCACCCTTGACTCATTGTTGTGGGGTTTTCCCAATTTCACCACCTAGTACAAGGGTTACCTGCATGGGCCCTACTCAGCCACGTGCAAACAGACTCCACTGCCACCTAGTGGGCCAAGGGAGATGTCAGGAAACTTGTTCTTCCAGCAACAAGGATTCTGGGAGTGGTAGAGAAGAAATGACCAGGGAGCCTCACTTTTCCTGTCACAAGGTGTAAAGTGAAATAGGAACAGCCACGCGGGGGCAGACCAATGGTCCCTGGAGCCTGGTCTCTGGTCGGCCGACAGCGGCCAGTGCCAGGTGCCCCAGAGGGAGTGAGCAGAACAGGGAGTCAGCACGTGACCCCTCCCCCGTCGCCCGTTCCCAGCTTTGGGCAGAGGTGAGAGACACTCGGAGCAGGGGGTCACATCCCTGCCCATTGTGACTAAGTAGGATATTTGGCTGCCTGAGGTAATAAATCAGAAGAATAATTAGTCATGATTTAATTTGTTCTAAAAGAGCAAAACATTGTAACACAGCAGCAAAACCTTAGCAGGCATGTGGACACACACACACACACACACACACACACACACACCATCCCCCTCCTCTCTCGTGCACTCCAGCTCCCTCAGCACCCAGAAGGGTGGTCACAGTCGCCTAGAAGGTCACAGAACCGGTGGTCACAGAGCTGGTGGTCACAGTCGCCTAGAAGGAGGCCAGCTTCATTCACTCAGGGCTGCTGCTGAACTGTCCCAATGCATTGTGGGAACTGAGTGATGCAGAAGCAGTCCCACCACATGCCCAGTGATCCACATCCCACCCCCATCCCGAATCCTGTCCTGTTCCCATGGCCACGGTCCCTTCCCGTGTGGAGCTGAGCTGCAGTCTTGCTGCTGCAGTGGCGTTTGTTGAATCGGGACCCTGCCGGGGACAGAGAAATGCTCCTTGTTACAGCATCTGGAAACTCAGGAGGCCTTCAGAAACATAAGTGACCCCCCAACCACTCTGAACCAGATGCAGATGGACCCATTTGGTGACATACTGATTGCATGTAATTGTACCCAACGGCAGCTGACCGGCGCGGCCCATGCTCCATACATTGTGTCATGCGTGCAGGCGGGTATAAAGACAAGCCGTGTTAGGTGCAGAATAGACTCTCTGCCCCAAAGAGCTGATAGGGGAATGCCCAGAGTGGGGAAGGGCCCCACGGTGCAGGCTGGATGCCATCCAGTAGGGAATGACTCCATGCCGGGACAGTTACAAGAACAGTCATATTCATGGAGTTCCATGGCTGTAGGTCACGGACAGTGTTCCCTCTAACAGCAGCACAGCATGACAGGTGGTTAATCAGCCCCGCCCCGTCAGGGGCTCAGGACTGCCTGCAGGGAGCTGACTGACTGGGCTGTGCTGATTAACCACCTGTGAAGCTCTGGAGGGAACACTGGATGCAACCCCCAGTTCCGGGTGTCCCTAAACCTCCAACACTCAGATGCTGGGACTGGACAACAGGAGCAGGATCACTCGCTAATTGCCCTGTTCTGGTCATTCCCTCTGAACCAGCAGGCACCAGCCACGGTCTGATGACAGGATCCTGAGCTAGACAGACTCCCTGTCTCTCTTCTTCTGCTCCGTGTGACGTGCTCCTGAGCCAGGCCCCCAGAATCATGAGACTGGCTTAAAAATGGTAAGAGATCAAAAATAATCCTCGGCGGGGTCTGTTTATTGGCCTGGTGGGAGTTGAGCGCTGGCCACGTGACTCTTTTAATACAGCCGACACCCTCCTACCGTCACATGACTGCAAGAGGCGGGGCTTTACAACAAACCTCGGCTCTCATGTGACTCGAGACCTGGCATCTAGTCAATCATCAAACACTTATAAAATGGCCTTCCATCATTCCACGTTAATTGCACCCAATCGTAGGCCATCAGGTCAACTCCCCCAGCCCGAAGGCCAGCAAAGCATTCTGGGATGCCCTGAGACCAAAGATTTCCAAGGGCTCTCCCAGTGCCATGGCGCGGATGTGCCACTGCTCCAGGTGCCTGGTCGATGATGCCGGTGGGCCAGCTGAGGCAGCACTGAGGGAGGTGGGTTTGGGAGCAGCCAGGGGGGTCTGCCACAAGCTGAGGGTAGATGCCAGGAGGCTAAGGAGCAGCCGTGGAAGCGTGTCTGGAGGAAATCCGCCTGCGGTCCAGGTTCTCTGCTGGTGGCTCTGGTGCTGGGCTTAGCAGGGGATGGAGCAAGGCGAGGCTCAGCGGGCTCTCAGAGTGACTTCCACCGGGAAATGGTCGCTCACGGCGAGGGCCTGGGCACCGAGGGGAGAAATCACAGAGCCGAAGTTATGGGGGCCCTCAGCAGGCATCAGATGCAGCTTGTACGTCCCCTGGGGTTACTGCTCCCATCCTCACATGGAGCCTGGCAATTCCTCCGGTGCAGCAGGAAGCAGAATGGGCTAGTGGGCCGAGCCTTCATCAAGAGCTGCTCCCTGATACTGACTCATTGCATGGCCCTGGGCAAGTCACCCAACTGCTCTTTGCCTCAGTTTCCCTTTCTGTACAATGGGAACAATAGTGATGTCCCCCATCAGGAGGTGCTGCCAGGGTGAGTCAATGCATATGAACAAGCCGGTCTGAGCGCCGCCTATGCAAAGTAACTTGTTATCAAAGGCAGGAGTCCCCGTAGCTCCCTGCCTTTGGGGAGCAGAGCGCCCTCGGGGTCTGCATCGTTTAGCTCCCAGGCTGCATTCCCATCAGGACTGTGAGTCCCCCAGCTCTTCTGATGAGCTCAGAGCCCTTTCAGAGGGGAAACGGAGGCACTGAGCAGTGGGGAGAACTGGCCACGAAGTTCAAGCTGCAGGTTTAACCCTCTCCTGCCCTGTGCCTTGAGGAATCGTTCAAAGACTGTGTAAAATCTCCCACCACGTCACCGTCCCTTCCCACGGCTCTCACCAGCCACACATGGGGAAGGGCCTGATCCTTGGCCTCTCGCCTCCCCTTCCTGCATGCTACCCACTGGGCCACGCTGCCCACATAGCGCCACCAAGAGCGTTTCCTCCTTCATGCAGTCCACATGCCTGTGAACCACAGCCACAGAGCCCACTGGGGAGACTGCGTCCCGGGGAGCTCTGCACAGCTGGTCACCCATGGATGCCTGAGTGGCGGTGACCCCAACATCTTGGACCCACCGTCTGCTCTTTGGGCACAGCTACACACACACTCACACAGACACACACTCACACACACATATCCACAGGAGGGGCTCTGCCTGTAACTACAGCTATAACAAATTGCACACACACACACACTCACACACACACATACACAGGTGGGGCTCTGCCTTTAACTACAGCTGTAACAAATCGCGCGCGCGCACACACACACACAGACACACTCACACTCACATATCCACAGAAGGGACTCTGCCTGTAACTACAGCTGTAACAAATTGCGCACACACACACACACAGACACACACTCACACACACATATCCACAGGACAGGCTCTGCTTGTAACTACAGCTGTAACAAATCGCACGCACACACAGACACACACTCACACACACAGATCCACAGGAGTGGCTCTGCCTGTAACTACAGCTGTAACAAATTGCACACACACACACACAGACACACACTCACACACACATATCCACAGGCGGGGCTCTGCCTGTAACTACAGTTGTAACAAATCGCACACACACACACACACACACTCACACACACACAACCACAGGCGGGGCTCTGCCTGTAACTACAGCTGTAACAAACCGCACCCGCACCCACCCCCACCCTGCTAGAGCAGGACAATCCCTATGTGTAGAGCAGGCCTTAGTTTAGCTGAGCTGCTCTAGTCTTCTGACTTGGGCCCGGTCCTGCCCAGCTGTCGTGGTCCCCTGGCTCCGTCCCTGCTCACAGCACGTGCAGGCCGCCAGCCGGCGTCACTTACGTCCTTGAGCTGCAGGCGGAAGGCCTCGGGGAAGTTGTTGACCTTGGCAGAACCGGTCACCACAGAGCGCTGCAGCTTGGAGCCGCTCGCCACGATGCTGTGACAGGGCGTGAGGGGCGAGGGTTAAACGCTGCCACAGGGCCACACCCCACAGGGAATCCTCTGGCCCGCTCCAGGGCCAGGCGGGATCCCCGGGCCAGGGGTTCCTCCGGCTTCCCTGAGCAGTGCAGTCAGGGACAATGTGACCTGGGGAGCACAGCCCTGGGGGAACAATTCCTCCGCCCATCCCAACAGCCAGACCCCCGGCCCAGCGACTGCTGGCTCTCAGCCACCGCCAGCCGGGGCAGGACCTGTGCTCAGCGCAGGCAGGTAACAGCTGCCAATTTCCAGCCAGAGACACACTGGGCCTGCCCGCCCCCCCGGGGGACA